AGTTAAGTGTTACATTTGGCGTTAATTTAAAGTATGATGATACTATATTGATCATAATTAATCAAAATTATATAGGGAATTAAATTACACAACTAGCTATAATAAAATTCTAAATAACAAATTGTTTTGGTTGTAGCTAAATACTCTTTGAAACGCAAAGCGCGCACACAACAAACAAATTGCACTTTTACTCTTTTGCTAGCTCACTTGATCCGTTCATGTACAGCAACCCAAACTCAAGTTAGGAAGATTCAACTCGAGTTAACGCATCACTAATCTATCTGAGATCGATTACTTGAATTATTGTTGTAGCTGTTACTTGTTGGAATGTTGATATTTTGTATTTTTTATTATTGTTTCGTAGATAGAGGATTGACTAGATAAAGCATTCGCGTATGCTTTTGAGATAGAAATAGGCGGGAGGTACTTTCACTGGGTTACCAGATATTGTTCCATTTCCCCCGTTATGCGTTTATTTATATTCACAGCACTTACATTCATACAAAAAACTTAATTGTTACCATAAAAAAAGTTCTTATATAATTCAGATGATTAATTAATTTCTCTTGAAAATACATTCTGTGACAAAAACTACTGGCGGAAACGGCGTAAAAACAGAATCATCATTCTGTATTCAACGGCGCATCGACGATTTTACTGGACATTCAATAAACTCTTTGGATTTCGACGATCAGCGACGAGCATTGTCCTGATAACAGCTAAATAATGGTTGACAACCCGCTTTCCAAGCGTTGAAACTATGCCAAATAACTATAATCATGTTTATGTTCAACAGTGGACTTTTGATAGACTGTAAAGATATATATTCTATTTAAATGAAAATATATTGAAATTTAAAAAGGAAAAAGAACTAAATTTTGCGTACTTACACAACTTTTAGAAATATTAACAATGTTACATAAAGTAAAACAAATGAAAACACAATTATATATTAAATATAATTCAATCAAATTAAAATAAACAAACGATTATTTATTAATTTTTCAACACATTAATAAACAATAAATTTAACAAAATTTTTGTCTTCTTTCTAGAGCATTAGTTGTAATGCTTGGTTTGAGTAGCCTTAGAATTTCTCAAAAATATGCATTTGTAAACTTGATTTATACCTTTGCATGGCAGAAATTCTTGGGTGCTGGTCGTTAGAATCAGATTAGGAGTGTATATATATATATATTATTTGCCTTGTATACAATATATTTTAATGGTATAAATAATAAGGTACAACTCCTAAACTATACTTAGATAGGTAATACTTATCTCTTATTTCTTAATTTATTTACACATTAATGTTTATAACACCTTTATAAAAGGGATTAAGGGTGGACTAAATGTCCCATTGGTAGGCATTCCCAGTCAGTTTTACAATTATTATTGCATAATAAATTATTAATTTGTATATTTAGGTCAGGATTTTAAATTACTTATTTATTTATTTTATTTAAATCTTTATTTGCATAAAACATGGTAGTACAGATAAAGTTCCAACATTTGTAAATGAGGATTCATGTTTAATCAATACATCTACAAATAAATATTTTGTCTTTGTCATGCCCCCAATTATTACAAGTCATAATAATACAGAATGTCAGCATTTGAAAATAAAATAATCAATGCTAGTCAATTTTTAATACATACAGAACAATGTCAAAAATCATAACTACCAACAAGATCAAACTTATATCACTTATGGAGAAACAACAAGATACAACAAGAAATTATAACATTTAAAAAATTATCTTAATTATATTATAAATTACATAAGTTAAGCATATTTAGTCCATCTAAAACAATGAGGCTTAAAATGTTTTGAGCATACACTGCTAAGTTTTGTTGGTTACCTATAAGCACTACCAGTAGCGATTATCCAACTGTTACTCATAGCTGATTCCTTAGGAAAGTTGTGAAATAATATATTTAAAAGAAATTAATATATTAAATATATAGTACACTTTTATATCAAGGTATTTAACAAAAGAAAAATCAAGTATGTGTATCTGTGCATAAACACAATACCTATAACAATTAAAACAATATCAACTGATTTATTTAAATAGCAAGTATATGTAAATGTAATGATAATATTATTCATACCAAACATTTAAAAAAATTATGTACATATTAAGATTTAGATATTGTTAATTAATACATTTACAGCCTAACAAATGTCCTCCACTGCTGAACATAGACCTCCCACACAGTTTGTCTCCAAATAACTGCAGTTGCCAATTCTCCTGCCAAGCTAGGCAACTATCACAAAACCCTTAACTTTTGATACTGACTAATGGTAATGGTAAGTATATTATCATCAAATTTTTTCTACATCATTAATTGAGAATATTATCTTATGTTGTTGTGTTATTGTGTACCTTAAGGACGCGTTTACAAAATTGATAGGTATAGAATCGAACTATTACATTGACACTGGTCACACACACAAGTGTACGCACGGTTAGCTGCGGGAATCGCAATCAAGTATAAACATTTTGATAATTTGAAAGATTGTTTTTTTTTTCATATTTCTTATTACCTACAAAAATATACTTAGATACGAAATATAAATGGCTGCTCCAGAGACAGCTAGGTACTAGAAGCCATCTACAGGGAGTGAGATGTTGGCTGTGGACTTTGAGCTGGTTTTGTTAGTTATGATAACTTCAGCTCCGAACTTGGTGAAGTGACTTGAAGGTATACTTGGGTGACTGCTACTGGAAGTCCTGGACGAGTAGTACCATGTGTGCCGAGTTTGAGCTCATTATGTTAGTTATGATGAGACCTTACCTCCGGACTTGACAGAATGACCTGATGGTGTACGTTGGTGACTACTACTGTAACTCCTGGACGAGTAGAACTAGGTGTGCCGAGTTTGGGCTTGTTTTGTTAGTTATGACGAGATCTTACCTCCGGAATTGATGAGAGACCTGATGGTGTAATTTAGTGACTACTACTGGAACTCCTAGACGAGTAGAACTAGGTATGCCAAGTTTGGGCTCGTTTTGTTAGTTACGACGAGACCTTACCTCCGGACTTGATAGAATGCCCTGATGGTGTACGTTGGTGACTACTACTGCAACTCCTGGACGAGTAGAACTAGGTGTGCCGAGTTGTTAGTTATGATGCGCAGTTGCCCTTGAATTTGGTAATACCATTTATATTTTCTCCGACGTGCCTAAACTCGGTACACCCAGTTCTACTCTTCCAGGAGTTACGAAGTACACCATCAGGTCTCTCATTAAGTTCGGAGGTAAGGTATCGTCATAACTAACAAAACGAGCCCAAACACGGCACACCTAGTTCTACTCGTCCAGGAGTTCCAGTAGTAGTAACTGATGTACACCATCAGGTCTCTCCATCAATTCCGGAGGTAAGGTCCCATCATAACTAACTAAACGAGCCCAAACACGGCACACCTAGTTCTACTCGTCCATGAGTTCCAGAAGTTAGTCACTGAAGTACACCATCAGGGCTCTCCATCAAGTGCGGAGGTAAGGTCTCGTCATAACTAACAAAACAAGCCCAAACTCGGCACACCTAGTTCTACTCGTCCAGGTGTCCCAGTGGTAGTCACTGAAGTACACCATCAGGTCCCTCCATCAAGTCCGGAGGTAAGATCTCGTCATAACTAACAAAACGAGCCCAAACACGGCACACCTAGTTCTACTCGTCCAGGAGTTGCAGTAGTAGTCACCAACGTACACCATCAGGTCATTCTGTCAAGTCCGGAGGTAAGGTCTCGTCGTAACTAACAAAACGAGCCCACACTTGGCATACCTAGTTCTACTCGTCCAGGAGTTCCACTAGCAGTTACCGAAGTACACCTTCAGGTCATTCCTTCAAGTCCGGAGGTAAGGTCTCGTCATAACTAACATAATGAGTCCAAACTCGGCACACCTAGTTCAACTCGTCGAGGAGTTCTAGTAGCATTCACCGTATACTTTCAGATCACTCCATAAAGTCCAAGACGAATAGGATTTATATATATTTATATATTATAAATCCCACTTGCTTTTAGCGAAACAAAACATTATAATAAGAATTTGTGATTATAAAAATATTTATATTATGTATGTATTATTTTACTTTGTCAGGTCATGTACCTATGTATCAAATTCGAATATTTTGTGTTTGTACAGCGATCTTTTTCAGCTGCTGCAGGCGATACAGCGACCACCCGCGATAGCGGCCGAGCGCCGACTGTGGTTTCATCGAAATTTATGTACAACAAATCAAAACAGACACTAAAAATAAAATAACCCTTATTGCAATCCATTAGGATTCATCCGTATCAGCAAAATATGCCAAAAAATAAGCATCAGTTTTTATTTTTTTTACGACTATTTGTGACATTTTGATAAAAAGTAATCACCAGCATTTTTTATTGAATATGTCTGCCTACTTACAGTATTTTTAGAAATCTTAATATATGTTGATAATAGAACAAAAAATGTACCGAAATATGAGCCGGTATCGTTAATTTTGTAGTAAATGGCTAGGGAAGATCCTTTTTACAATGTAAAAAACTATTATTTTCAACAAAAAAGTTACCACCATTTGAAGATAAAGAACCATTCTATACGTTGTAGTTATTAGTTATATTTGATTTGGTTTAGTTTTGTCACAAAATGTACCGAAAAACAGCATAATTTGGCCAGATTTGCAAACGCACCCTTAAGATTAAGACTTATTTATTATTTTATCTATATTTATATCTATTTTTATATTAGCATGACATTTTTTGAATAAATATTGTAATGTAATTGTTGCTAATCTATAATAGAATGAATGGAATGCAATAAAGTTTTGTGCATCTGATTTCAAGCAATACATATTTTGTGAAATTAAATATACTTTGCCCAATATTTATGTACTTGAATCCAAACATGTTTTCAGCTTGATACTTACATATTATTTGTGAAGTCTATGTAATATAGAAAATGATTGAAGAGTTGTAGGGCAATAAGGACTTTCCTTTAAAGCTGAACATAAAAGTGTATACATATAACATTATGTGAATCATATTTATGGATATAACTACTAATCACAATAAATATTATTATTGAACAATGCGAAAACTTTATTGTACTCGCTGATATCCCTAAAGTTTCTATAATCCTACCAAATCAAAAAGTACACGTTTGTTATGACTTTAAGCTTTCGAATGACCGTTCAAATTAAGGAGCATTATCGTGAAAAATTTACAATTTGGGAATCTAAATATTTGACAAAATACATCACAAAGTTCATTAAAAACATGAAATGTTACACTTTATATTCAAAACAATAGATATTAATCAGTACAAATAGCAAATGTAAGCACAAAACAAACTTACCGATGAAAGGTGATATTATCAATTTTTCGTTGACTGATGCTGTTGCATCCTAAAATGCTACAACTTACCATCTTTTTCACCTTACCTAATAAATAAGATCCACAAAAAACACTAAATTCAATTAGCTGTTTGCTTATAATATCAATATTATTCAAAAGAGCTTGACATCGTTAATGTCAAATAAAGGAGGGAAAACAATCAAAAACGCATACCTAGAAAAAGACATGAAATATAGATTTGCTTCTCCCTTACTCTTATGTCTAACTATATACGTGCATTTCTTTCACACGCTGATGACGTCACTGAATGTTTAGTCTATAAGATACTATGTCTATGTATTGTTTTGTAGACAAGTATGCAATTATTTTTTATCTCCCTAGTTAACACAGAAAAATAATCAAAAATAGATATTAAAATGCTCAATTTAATCGAGAATCGATTATTATATTATAGATATTATGTAATAAACAATGTTGAATAAAAATCATTCTATTCTATAAAAATATCACAATATCGAAAAAGCAGCAATTTATTACAAATTTCCAAACATTGCATGTGGGTAATTTTTTTCCAGAATAAGCATTTTGTAGGTTGGCTAACTAAGGACTCTCTTTTTACTCTTTGACTTTATGATTAGTTAGGTACAAATGTTATTGACTCTGCATCGTTATTTGCTATGATTATGTAATGTTTTCAGGATGGGATGTCACAACTGAACATAATTATTGTAAAGTGCAAGATGACGATGATTTCACAGAAGCTGTGGTAGTGATTAGAAAGCCTGGTATGTACAAATATCTTAATTGATGTTAATTGTAAATTATAGTAAACATATTATGATGAACACTGTGATTTGATGTATTTAAATTTCAGTCAGTGGCAAATTTTTCAACATTTTGAATAATGTTTTCAGGAAGTGATGTTACGATTGAACACAATTACTGCAAAGAGCAAAATGATTGTTCCAAATCATCGGTAGAGATTGGATCATCAGGTGTGTACTAATATTCATGTAGTACTAGTTACTAAGTAGCAAAAAAAGCTTTCTAACTATTTCATAAATTTACTAACCGTTCATTTTCTAATAATGTGTTTGCCTTATCATACTGACATCTATAAAAATGCAAAATTGTAACAAATTTCAGATGTTGGAAATTCTCATGAACAGCCTTCATGTTCAAATTTTTCAACTGTTGCAACAGTTGTAGAAAATAAAGGTATGTGAAATTGTATTGGACATAATTTTTTATACATTTATGTAGGGATCAAATCAAAAGAAGTACTTATATGTTGGGTAATAGAAAAAATACTTTAAATGCTTATAAACAGGCTGTGGACTGAAGGTGTCACTGCATACCTAGAACTGCATCAGTTCTAGAGGATAGTTATGTGTATTTGATACTAGACACTAGGATAATATTGCATGCCTTAAGTGCAAAGCACGTAGGTATGTTCTACTAGCGCCTAAAAATCAAGATTTCAACGTTTTGTCGCATGAAATCGTATCTAACAATTATATTTGTTTATTTTTCAGATACATTCCTGGAGCAACCTCCAAGTGCAAGTACCAAAGGCATGGAGATAGATGTTCTCGAAGAACTCGTAGGTTTGTCTGCTTATACTAAACTAACTTTTATTAACAGTAGCTAGATTTAATGTAGACATACAATACAGAGAAGCATACATTGTAAATTTGTTATTTAATATTGAGTTTATGTTTAAGACCATAACATTCATAACTATTGCTTCTTTTCAGGAATTGATTCTAATGTTAATGTGGTGAATCAAATGTTGCCAAAAGGTAGCACATGTACAAAAAAGCAAAAAGGTATTATAAATTCAGTTTATTCTTAGACATAATTAGAAAAAGTTTCAATATCTACCTCAAATCACAATAAGAGTTCTTTGTTCTTCATCTAATCCCAAAATTACAGTTCCACTACACTTCAATGGTTTTATCAACAACTCCTTTACTGTTAAGGTTATATTTCTCTGGAAGTCTTCCCCTGATGACATCCACACTATTTGTTATCTTTTCAAAGTGAATACATTAAAAGTTTAAAATAACAATATATAAATAATAAATTAATATTTTTAAGTGTATCATTCAGTCATAAAATATGAATATAAAACTTAATTATTTTATTTATTTCACTTCAGGTTCGGTGAAGAAAATAGTATCAAGGAAAAGAAAATTGGTTAAAATTTTGACTAATATTGCAACTGAAACTTTAAGTGACTCAGTATCACAAAGACTTGATCAAGCCCAATCCCTATCAAGAAATAAAGACCTTTTGGAAAACTTTTATTTGTTAAACAAACAAGCGCAGACTTTCTTGTTTATGCAATTAAAACAAATTCATAAAAGCAAAATGGCCAGAAGGTTTACCTTAGATGAAAAATTAATGGCGTTGCTCATAATGAAACAAAGCCCCAAAAGTTATAAACTATTAGAAAAAATGTTTGCCTTGCCTAGTAAACGGACATTAAATAGACTTTCTGAGAAGGTTTCAATACAACCAGGACTCAATCCATTAATATTTGAACATATATCAAATACAACCAAAAAATGGGACACTAAACAAAAGCTATGTACAATCGTTTTTGACGAAGTCTCTCTAACACCACATTTAACTTTTAATGAAAAAGATGATATAATTAATGGGTTTGTAGATATAGCTGGAGAGAGAAAACTGAAATATTGTGATCATGCTTTAGTTTTTATGCTAAGAGGAATATGCTCTCCATGGAGACAGAGTGTAGCATTTTATTTCTGTGAAGGCACAGTATCAGCAGCAGAGCTGCAATGCATTTTAAAACAGATTGTGCCCCAAGTGATACGAACTGGGTTAATACCTTTAGGTCTTGTTTGTGACCAAGGGTCCACATTTCGAACAGCAATAAGAAGACTTAGGGAAGATACAATTCGTAGGCGGAATATTCAAGGTGTTCATGATGGTGTGTACCATTATTAATTACTTAAAAACTAGTTCTACTTCATGACAAATATTATATATTTTAATTATTTTACAGATGGATCGGTTAATATTGCTGATCACGATTTAAGCATATTTTTTGACCCACCTCATCTCTTAAAGGGTTTAAGGAATAATTTTTTAAATAAAGATATAATTTGGGAAGAAAAAACTGCCTCTTGGAAAGATATTGAGTTCATTTTTGATTTGGATAGCAAATTGGGGCACACAAGGGCACTACCAAAGTTAACGGCTCATCATGTTGATCGCCAAAAGATCAAAAAAATGAAGGTCAGCGTAGCTGCTCAAGTATTTAGTGCTCGAACTGCTGCTATGCTCAAATATACAAATGCACTCAGTAAGTAACGATTGCTATATTGATTTGTAGGCTTATTCAATTTATGTATATACTATTGTAAAATTTGACCAGAAGTCTCAATTTGTAAAAAAATCAATTTGTAAAAAAATGGTTAAAAAAGTCTGTTGTTGTAACCAAATAAGAAGTGTCTTTTTGGCGAAAGATTTGCAGGTACAACTGTAAAAGAAATTAAATTAAAAAGTACTTTTTTCTTTTCAGATTATTTTCATACTGCAAACTCTGACGCAACAATGGCCACAACAGCAGAAGTTGTTGAATTCTTCGACACACTGTTTGACAGCGTCAATGGCTACCCGGGTGGTGTGCAAAGAGGAAAGTTAAGACGAGCGGTTAAACAAAATTCACAACATCACACTTTTTGGATTGAGGCCATTAATAAAATTAAAAAAATGGTTTTTGTAGACACCAGTAGCAAACATGCTACAAAAGCAGGAAAACCTCGACTTGTGCGAGTGCCATCCCAACAAGGATGGATTACAACTCTTGAAAGTTTTATAAGGGTCTCCAAATTGTTATTTGAACAGTATAATGTAGAATATTATTATCCGAGGAATATTAATCAAGACCCATTAGAAAATTTTTTTGGCCGTATAAGAGCTATAAATTATAGAAATGTTAACCCAGATGCAAACACATTTATATATGCCTTTAAATCTTTGATGTTATCTAACATGCTTAGTCCACATTCCAAATTCTCTAACTGTGAAGAGGATAATGGAGAAACATTATTAAATGTTAGTCTTCTTTTTAAAAACCTTCATAATAATAAAGAAAATGACTCGGAAAACACTGTCAGTATTTCGCGAGATCTCCCATCTTCTTCACAAGCAAGTTCAAGAGAAAAGTTGCTGGTGAATGATGTAGTCATGGAAAAAATCAAAGTCCACTGCTCAGCTTACACTGCTGGATACATTTGTCGGAAAATAACGAGAGCGATTCGTTGTAAGGATTGCATCAAAACATATATTAGCAGTACGGAGACAAACATTCACTCTTACATTAAATTTAGAGAGTATAAATTGTTAAAAAATAATAATTTGGCATACCCTAACGAAAAATTCCTTATCTTGTACAGGGATGGTACTCACTTTATTCATAACTATTTGAATTATAGCTGTATTGGAAGTAATATAAAAAGTAATTTGAAAAGAAAAATATTGAGCACTTTGAGTTTTTCCTGCCTAGGGTGTGATAAGCATGCCTTAATTGTAAAAAACTTTTTCACCAATATTTTAATTAGATTACATGGACACAATTGGTGCAACATAAACAATAAAATATTGAAAGGTGATATTGATGAAAAATATGTATCTAAAATGGGTGAACCCCAAAAATTGGCCTTAAAGAAGTATAAAAGTCTTAGGTTAAGAAAAAAATGTTTAAGTAAATAAAATGTTGGTGAAGTGACGACCTGGATATGCAGGTGGCTTAGGACCGTGCTTTGTGACATTTCTTGGGGGAGGCCTACGTTTAGCAGTGGACTTGTGAAGCGCTGTAATGATGACGGTGGTTAAATAGAATGTTCGGATTCCTGAAACGTAAACTCTGTTTCAGGTCCCCGCAAACCAAGTATATAACGAGGCGATATTGCGAATAGCTATGTTGTGTGTGCCGGACAGGTACGTGTGGTGCCGGAAGCGGCCTCCACCATTCGAGACACCGCGCGCACGTACCTTCCAAACGAGGCCCACTGACCCGAGTGCTGCACACTAAATAAAGTAGCTCAGGATGTAGATTTATTCTGCTGTTCCTTGGGTGAATTTACCTAAGTGACATTATATTATGTATTATGTTATAATAGTAGATAAGTTGTGTTCTGTCCTTATTAAATTAGATAGTTTTATATGCCTACACTGTCGTATTAGGTACGCCTGTAAAGACAGAGGTAGAAATAAATAAATAAAGTTACTCCCTAAAAATCTCTGGTCTGTAGCAACCTAGAATATGCTTCTATAGCGCGGAGTCGATTTTATGCTACATTACGCTATTAGCATCTTGAGCATACTTGTTATTTTTAATGTTGATGTCGATATTTGTTTATTTTTCAGATGCTTATCACGGAACAACCTCCAAGTGAAAGTACCAACACCAAGGAGATAAATGTTCTTTTTAAAAGTAATTTATGTTACCATATAACTTAGTTATATGATAATATAGATTACTTTTTAATTACGATTATACTAAACTGTCGTTAACAGTAGCCATACAGAGTTAATACATACAATATAGATGTATACATTATATATTTATTCTTTAATTTTGGGTTTATGTATAAGAGCATAAAATTCACAAATATTGTTTGTTTTCAGGAATAGAAATCTGATGTGAAAAGCTGATGTGGTGAGACAAATGTTGCCAGAAGATACAAAATGTACACATTGGCAAAATGGTATGATAAATTCAGTTTATTCTTATACATAATTAGGCAAAATTTCAACATATCTATTATATCTATATTCAGCATATCTATCCTCAAATCACAATAAGAATTCTTTATTCTTCATCTAATCTAAAGATTACAGTTCCACTACACTTCAATGGTTTTATCAACAACTCCTTTAGTATTAAGTTTACACTAATTTGGAACTCTGTGCCTGAAGACATTGAGAAAGCTCCTGATAATGGATGTATACAATGTAAATATTTATATATTTTTTATTTCTTATTTACTGCATCTATCACTTTATTTTCACCACACCATGGCTGACCGAAAGAAAATGCCAACTGCCATGAAGCCCTATTTTACCTTAATATGAATAATATATGATTTATGATTATCATTCAGTCATAAAATATGAATATTGGACTTTATTTTTATTTATTTCTTTTCAGGTTACGTGGTGAAGAAAATGAAATAAAAGAAGAGATGTTAAAATTTAAAAAAAAGGTTGTAACTTGTGTGCAAAAAAAAGGGTGAACAATCCTCACAAAGACTTGCTTAATGTCCAATCTATTTTAAAACTGTAGAGAACTATTTGAAAACCTTTATTTTATGTTAAACAAATAACTTTCTTATTAATACAATTAAAATAATTTTGTAAAAAAAATGGCCAGGCCAAAAAAGTAACTTGAAAAGTAAAATATTAAGCACTTAAATATGATTCATGTGGTTTAATTTGCTTTATTTAATGAACTATAAATATTGCTCTGTTTCTCGTCAAATTGTACTTATTTATGCACAATGTTATGTACGATTTTCTAATTTGTTTATATAACTTAATGTGCCTTTAATTTAATCCTAAAATTACGTATGTATATGATGTAGGTGTGCTTGAATAAAAAATAAATGTTAATGTATTATAAGTGTTTCATTAAGTAATATTATTATTCCTGTATAATGCACTTCTGTCGATATCGATAAAATAAGAACACCACTAAACATCGATATCGATGATTTGAAGGATGTGTGCTTGCAATCTCTAAGCTATATTTTTTTTTATTACTCATCTGTCAAAATGGGCGACTGCAGCGCTAAAACGCATAGTTGGGAAACTTGACTAAAAGTAACCAAAAGTAACTGTCGTATCTGTAGCTTGCTACATATATATTTATCTATGATTTAATAACGTCACAAACTATATAGAAACACTAAATAACGTCAATCTTCATGTACTTGCCGCAGAGTTGAGGTCTTTGGCCATTCCTGAAAAAATTGTAAAATGGATATTTAACTTTTTACATGAAAGAAGAGTTTTTGCTAAAGTTAATAATAATAATACAATTATTGGTCCTAGGCTCAGTTATAAAGGTGTTTGTCAAGGAGGAATATTAAGTCCTCTTATCTTTATTTTATACATATTTAAATTAAACAATATTTTAGGATCAAATGTTACTAATTTACAATATGCAGATGATTTGGTCATATACGCCTGAGGAGCAAATGTCAAAAACTTGGTAACCATTTTAAATGAGGCTTTAAAGAAATTGCACATTTACTTTTCATACTTAAATTTAGATATTAGTGCTGAGAAAAGTAAAGTTGTAATATTTAATAAAATTCGTCCATTTTACACTAGAATAATTTATAATAATACATTTTTACCAATAGAAAGTTGTGCAAAATTCTTAGGTGTAATTTTTACAAATAATTTATCTTGGACCAAATACGTGAATTCTATTACAGACAGAGCTTCTAAGGCCTCTAATGTATTAAAAGCTTTGGCTAGTACTAACTGGGGAGCTGATCCAGAAATATTATTAATGTTATATAAGTCCTTGGTGAGGAGCCATTTTGAGTATGGCTTCCTTTGTTTTGCATCAAATAAAAAACTAGTAAACAAATTAGATAATATACAAAATAAGAATTTAAAACTTATTACCGGCTCTATGAGAACAACTCCTATTATTTCTTTACATGCTGAATGTCTTACTCCTCCTATCTTACTTTTTTTTTTATAGGATCGGGTGACAGACGAGCACACAGTCCACCTGATGGTAAGTGGTTACTGTGACCCATAGACATCTACATCTATCCTCAATAAAGACTCAAGATGCAGATGCGTTGTCACCCGTGAGGACTAAGATGGAATGCCTCATTTCCAGTAAAAAGGGTCTCCGGTTCTCTACACTCACCATACGAAACACAGCAGCGTTAAGCTGCTATTTTACGCTGGTTTTCTGTGAGAGCGTGGTCCTTCCCCGGTCGAGCCGACCCATTCGTGCTACAACCATAATATAGCTGCAGCATGGCTCTACCACGTACAAAAAATTAGGTTTAAATATCTGAAATTTAGGTTTTCATTAAATATCAATTCTTTCTCACATCATCCTCTTTTTCAAAAAGTATTATTTTACTATAATAGTATGTCTCCTATATCTAACTCAGCCCCACATATACTCCATGACTTTCATGAAGTGATACGTTATGATGGACAATATAATATTCACAAAAGCACACATACTTGGCCTTGTTATAAGGGGAATTATGAAAGTAAATTCAGTGATATACACATAAATATTGATAAAAAATTGAAAAGAAAAGAAGAGGTTTATGAACTTATATCTACATATGATGAATATCGACAAATTTACACAGATGGTTCAAAAGTTTAAAATAAAGTAGCCTGTGCATTTTACATACCTCATCTGAAAACTGAACGTGGCCCTTCCATTCCTGCATCAGCAATCATATACACTGCAGAATGTTATGCTGTCTTAATCGCTCTTAAATATATAGAAGAACACCCACATGTATCTAATAAATGGTTACTGATCTCTGATAGCATGAGTGTCTTGAAGGCACTGAAGGCTTTAGATGCTAAAACGTCTTTCACCATATATGAAATCAAAAGTTTGTGGTGGAAATTGAAAGAAAATAATTTGGAAGTAAAATTTTTATGGACTCCGTCACATATTGGGGTTCAAGGAAATGAAAGAGCAGACCATTTAGCTAAAAGTATAGTTACAGCTGATATTGAAAGGATAACCGATGTTGCAATACCATATACAGATTTATATTCAATTTTAGAGAAACAGTTAAAAGAAGAATGGAAAGTGCAATGGAATGCTATTTTAGAGGCAGGAAAAGGTCGTTGGTATGCATCAATTAATTCAGAATTAAGTATTCCTTGGTTTTCTCGCAACGAGAGATATCATAGCAGAAAATTTTATACAATAATGTGCAGACTTAGATTTGGCCACTATCGACTGAACGCTCATCTTTCCAGGATGAGAATAGTAGCATCTGCAACATGCAATTTCTGCGATACAGAAGCAAATCAGACTGCAGAACATATAATATTTAACTGCCTAGCGTACGCCATTGAAAGATTGCTACTCATTGAAAAACTTATACAAGTTTATGAAAACTCAGAAAGCATCCCGCGTGCCCTGTAAGATGTTCTTAGGAATACTAAGACATATTTAGCACTTTGCAATTTTATTCATAATACTGTAAAAGAAATATGAAATATGGTATCCCTGTTTTGAAAATATTGGATTGACAAATCTACACGGATTGAAATCTACAAAGAATATAATATAAAGAAGACTTGGCTTTAGCCTATACGGGTTTTTGAAAATATGAAGAATTAAAGAAAATAAGACTTGACTTCGGCCTTTATGGATTTTGAAGAGATGGAAAGAAAAAAAAATAAGACTTGGTTCCGGCCTTTACACTTTAAAATTTTATATATTCAAAATAAAAAAGACAAGGCTGTATGGCTTAGTTCCTTTGCCTGCTCTCTCAAGCAAATAATAAAAACAATAACAACAACATAGAGTAGAATGGTCAAATGTCAACTCAATTGTCAATGAAGTTTAGTTGTCAACGCGGTTCATTTAATTTGTAATACGAATTTTATCGATTTTTTCAAATGTTAAAATGTTTCAAACGGCGTGCACGGATAAGAATTTGAAATATACTTGTGCCTGACTAGATTTTAGAACAGTATTATTTTTATGTAAGTGTAATTGTCCTTGTTATTAGACACTTGTATTTTAACCTTGAAACTTATTCATGTGATCATTTTTTATTTTAGTAGAGGTTAGCAATACATTTGTTTTCCTCAATAATTACGAGTACATTTAATTCGTAATATGACACAGCATATTTACAAAAGAACATGAATATATTAAGGTTATGCTGTTATGTCATTTCAAATTTTGTTATGAAATCCTCAAAGACTTAGATATTTTAGTTTTATTTTTAAAAAGAGTAACACTGTAAATTTTATTTTAAAATAAAGATTTTTTTAATATCTCGAAAGGTTAGGTAACTGATGTAAGTAGCTGGATATATAAAATTAAATTTTGAGTAGATAAAATTATCTGATGATAATAATAGATTATATCTATTTGACAGCTAGTTCAGTGGTGAGCAAGATTGGCTACGGTTTTGCACGCATGGCGGTTTAGGCATAATAAAGGAATAATATAAATATGATATATTATTAATTCTACATAAATTAATATTTCTTTAATTTACTTTCCAGTTTTCATCATGGTTTAATAAAATAAAGTCAAAAATGCTCAATACGAATTTGATAGGTCTCAAAATAACAAATTTGAAATCCTTTCTACGATTAACAAATACAAATGTAAGCCTCAAGAAAACACTTTATCTATCCACTGGCAAAACTGCACATCCATGTTTATGTGGACAAGTATACTTTAAGAAGGAACAGAGACGAGGTGATAGAGTATTTTATAAAAATGTTCGATTTCACACAACACACAGTGACCAGCATAGGCAAAAGGTGGTAATAGAGACGTCCACACCAAAAATTATCATAGATGAAATAGAAAGGAGGAAAAAGGTGTTACCAGTGGAAAAAAGTATTGATGTCAGATTAGGTGATCTGTGGAAGAACAAAATAGATCCATATGTTAAGTTAGCAAGATGGGACAGACCTGTTGGTAAGTCTTAATTTATTCTCGTTGTGTGAATATGCCATTGTTAGACCTCTCTCAAGCTTTTACCATGCTGTATTTGCATACTATGGCAGTCCCTTTTCCCTCTTTCCTTACCAGTAACCTACAAGTATTTATATGGCCTGCAAATAATTGTTCCGTGTCTGGATGTTTCTCCTTGTGCAAGTTATTATTATTATGTGGTAACAGGCAGGCTGCTTATAGCCATGGTAGCTCAGATGGTTAGTGCTTGCTGTAAGCTTCACAGTACTCGAACAACCCGGGTACGATCCCCACCGGTACCAACGAAATTGTTAATTGCAATTTTAAGTGCCTATTTACCACATGCTCGACTGTGAAGGAAAACATCGTGAGGAAACCTGCATGTCTGAGAAATAAGAAAAAAATATTTCGAAGACATGTGAAGTTCGCCAATATGCATTGGGGCACCGCGGTGGACATTTCCTTGCCCTATAACCCTCTTAGAAATGAGAGGAGGCCTGTGCCCAGCAGTGGGATGTAAATAGGCTGCAACTTTACTTTACTTTTTATAGCTGATATGCCTATATCTGTGTTGGTGTTTTATATTAGTCTAAGTTCACACTAAGAATACACTAAATTGGATTGTCTTTACACCATTTGTCCAGTTTGTTTTAAAACTAATGACAGAGGGGCCATCTACCACGTCTTGAGGCAACTTGTTCCATATATTTATGATTCTGTTGTTTAGTGTGTGATGTCCCACATTACTGTATGAGCAGGTGTGGGCCAATCTCATATAGTTAGGATCTCTAAGTCGGTGGATACTGCTGATGTTAAAAATATGTGGCAGCTCTTTGCAATTATATTTATGTGTCAATATTTTGTAGGTCTCAATTAGATTCAATATTTTTAATCTCTCTTTGTATGGCTTTTTGTGAAGCATAATGGAATCTTTGTGGCTTTTTT